GCATAAAATTCTTATACCTGGATCCAACCCTCAGAGATTCTGATTTGGTATTGGGTGGAACCTAGGCATTGGGTTTTTTTTAAAGTTCTGTAGGTGATTCTAATTTGTAGACAATAGTCAAAAATCACTGTGTTAGAAAATGTACTCATCTACTGTGCAAGAAAAGCAACATCATTCCCAAGCAGGATTCACTGTGATAATGTTTTCAGGGTAAAAGACGTTGTTGCTGATGCTACTCAATATAGGGAGTAGGTATAAAAAGAAGGAAAAGAAGAAAATCATTTAAAATTAGTGTGAAAATTATCATTTAAAATTGGTTAGTTTAAATGAAAATGAACTTAATTCCAGACATTTGCTTTTGCATCAAAAAAACACTGGTTTGCAAAGATGAATTTTTGAATAAAGATGAATTTAAAAACTTCCCTCTTATATGTGGAACAAGAAAGAGTGGTAGTTAGAGACTATATGTTTAATTTTTTTTGAGTTTTTTTCTTCCTCTAATAATAAAAACCTAGAAACAAAGGATAAAAGTCTGTTTCTGTGGAATTCCGGTCAAGATGATGGAATAGACGGTTCCCAGCATCACTCTCTCCCACAAATCAAACAATTTACAGCTATAAAAATGTAACAGCAGCCAAGCTGGAGGCGCTGAAGCTCAGGGGAAGAGAGGGAGAGATGTATGGAGTTCATGAGGGTGGGAGAAACCATGAGGAAAGAAAAAAAACTGCTTGGGGCGTTTTGGGCCATGGCCACTTTAAGGCTGGAGCTGCTGAGTGCATGGAGCAGGAGCTGGCAGAAGTTGCAGCTGTGCCCATCAGATGGAGTTACTTGGAGGTGGCAGGGGAGATGAGAGCCTTGGTGGCCCCCAGGACAGCAAGACCACTAAGAGGGTTCGCATTGACCCACGCAGGAGCTAGGAGCCAGAACAGCTGAAAAAGGGGAGCCATTGAGAGGCTGGTGAGTCATCGCAAGGGACTGGCGCAGGGCCTGTCCCATGGGAAGTGTTTGGAGCACCAGCCGTGGGGGAGATGGGCCCACCAAGAGAACACTGGGACACAGCAAGGACAGCTGATCCGCCCCCCAGTCAGCACAGGACCACTCAGAAGAGAACGGTCAGGAATGCAGAATTGCATGGGGTGCAGTTTGATGAAAAAATTCAGGACCTGACCAGAGTTTCTAAACAACCCAGGTGCACTGAGTCTCTGGAGAGCCGGATGTACCTATAAGGTCAAATATTAAACCCTGAACTGCACAAAAAGCCTTCCCTAGGAAAACAACAGCAAAGCATCAATTTAGCTCAACCACACAGCTCAAGTACTGGTTCCCACAGGAAGTTTCCCCATTTTAGAAGTAAGCAAAGGACAAAAAATTAGTTCCAAGGCACACCACCAGTGCCTTGGGGCCCTCTGGGGGATCTGAGGTATGGAGCTGGTGACTGGACCCCCCCCCCNGTTTGATTTTATGATACAAGTGGGGTTTGGAAAAAGGTAATCTTTAAAAAAAAATGGTCACGAAAAGAACAGAGGCTGAAGGTATGCATGGGCAAGGTGGAGGAAGCAACGGGAAGTATTAAGAGAGCAGAAAGCAGCTCTAGAAGCATTACCTGTCCCAGGTGGGTCTGCACGCCGCTGTCGCCTTGCACAGCACTCCTGGAAAGCTCAATTGCAAATCCCAGGGCCGGCCAGGGATAGCAGGACGCCTAAGGAAGGAAACAAAACAGAAAGGAGTCTGTTCCCCGGAGCCCCGAAGCGAGGGGGCCGTCCAGATGGGGAAATTGGCGTCTCTTTCCAGGCTGCCAGCCTTGCCACCTGTTTCCTTCGATCCCTACTCAGTCAGCCCCAGCTGTGGGGGCAAATCAAGTTGGGGTGGACCCGGCTGCCTGAGCCTAAGTCGCCGTGATGCCCACCGAGGGCCCAGGCAGCAAATTCCCTCGATCTCGCCAGACGCAGGTTCCTGCCCCCACGCTCGTTGCCTCCACAGTAAACTCCGCCTGACTCAGCCTGTTTCGCTCCAGTGCCGGAGCCGTCCGGGCCGGGCTGGGGCCGGGGACGCGGGCCCGCGCCCAGCAG